CCGTGACAAAGGGCGTGTTTTTTTGTAGTGACTATTCCAGCGAATAGATAAATCTTTGGGAAAATCATGATATTTGACACGTCTATCCCACAAATATTGACGTCATTGCATTTTTAATGGATTACTAGCCCAAATAAGTCTAATCCCCCCTTCACTACCTCCATAGCATCTCCCAACGCAGCTAGCTCATCTTTTACACATAAATTTAAAATATGACATGCACAACGCTTATGAAAAACTTACCCATCACAATAGAAAAACCACGTTGGTGCTAACCGAGCCCGGGCTTTTACCCGGTTAAGCGGGTTGGGCGGGCCTGGCTCGGGCCACGTTTTTCTTGAACTGGCCCGATCGGGCCGGGCCGGGCACGGGCTTTTTTGCTTATCAAATTTTTTTTGTTTTTCTTGGTTAGGGTTAGGTGTTTGGGGGGGGGGGGGGGTCAGGGCTTAATTAAAAAGCAAAAAAAAAACATAGAACTTGGCCTGACCCGGACCGGCCCTAGTTTATACCCGAGCCGGGCCCAGGCCCGGGTCCACCCCTAGCTAGTAGGAGCTAGAATGTTTTTCCAAAAAAAAATTAAATGTGACTGTTAGGCCTGCACCGTAATAGTGCCGAGCCAGTGGGCCCGAAATGCCTACCTAACCGTAGTGGTGGACTCGGTTTGGGCCGGGCCCGGTTCGGGCCTAGAACCGGTCGGGCCTCGGTTCACGGAAGGAAGACCCAGAACCGGCCCGGATAACCCCGGGTCCGGTTCGGTTCGGATCACCCGCCCGGTTCACGGGCCGGGCCGCCCGCCGGGCCAGTCCTTTTAATTTTTTTATTATTATATATTATATTATTAGAATAACTTTTATTACAATTACAATATATTATATTCGAATCCAAGTATATTTATTTCAAATAAGAAGTACAATTGAGAATTAGGATGAATTTAAAAAATGTAATACATTTTGTAATAAAAAATCAATCGGAATCTCCGTCTTCGGTTGTTTCCTCCATAAAGTGGCGGGTGGGAGTGATGGTAATTTCTTGAGTTCTTCGTTGGGCCTTCAACCAATCGTGAAAGCAAACTAGTGTCTCAAGAGAGCTCAGACTCAACCTCGTTCTATAATCGGTTAGGACGTTGCTGGTCGCACTAAATTCTTGTTCCACGGCAACGGTTGATATCGGCATTGCTAGCACTTGCTTAGCCATCTTTGATAAAATCGGGAATGTTCTTTCATTTTCCTTCCACCACTTAAGAACGTCAAAGTCATCACCAACTTCATAATCAACATTCAATGTTAGATACAAAGAAAGCTCGTTACCTGAGCTTTGTTCAGTAGCGGGAGTTGCTCTACTTTTTTTCAAAAGAGAACCAAAAGCGGATTTTAAAAATGATTTTCCTTTAGATGAAGAAGATGTTCGTTGCATGGGAGGGGTGCATTACCATATTGTGCATGAAATTTATTATACAATTGATGAAATAAATTACTAACCTCGTTGAATTCTTGTTTAGGATCGATGAGATTATCACCGAACTCTTGAGTTGGAAAAAAAGAAGCATGATAGTAATCTATACAATTTGCCAAGTAAGCAAGTTTATAACGAGGATCACGAACAAATGCAATACCATATATATGCAGAATATGTGAATAATATTTTAAAAACTTTTGTTTCATGAAATCACAAAAATAACTAACGTAAGTGGCTTCAGAAAATTCACAAAAAGCCCCAGCGAGATTAACATCCGGGGTGCCGTGAGTCCCGTCGCCCCCCGCGTCCTCCTCCGCATCGTCATCCTCGAGCTCCTCTTCATCGATGGTTGTCGGGAATTGATGTTCTTGTGCAAAACGTGGATCATTTTGGGACAATAGGTGTTGTAGTTGCTCGTCGGATATCATCATATCATCTCGCCGTTGGTAATCCGTTTCAAAATCATCTCGACTTTGAAAAGAAGACTCGGCCCGCGCTTTACCTTTGCCTTTGCGTGAAGTAGATCGAGTCGATGCAATCTCCCTCTTGCGGTTGCGTTGGAGATTACCCACATCTACAAAATGTCTACCACGCTCCATCTTTAAAATTGAACAAATATTAGCAATTAACTAATATGAGAAATGTAAAAATGTAGCAATTAACTAATATGAGAAATGTAAAAATTAACTACTTTTTTTACTTTAATGAGAAATGTAGCAATTAACTAATAGATAGTATGAGAAATGTAAAAATGTAGCAATTAACTAATATGAGAAATGTAAAAATTAACTACTTTTTTTTTTACTTTAATGAGAAATGTAGCAATTAACTAATATGAGAAATGTAAAAATGTAGCAATTAACTAATATGAGAAATATAAAAATTAACTACTTTTTTTTACTTTAATGAGAAATGTAAAAATGTAGCAATTAACTAATATGAGAAATGTAAAAATTAACTACTTTTTTTTACTTTAATGAGAAATGTAGCAATTAACTAATATGAGAAATGTAAAAATGTAGCAATTAACTAATATGAGAAATGTAAAAATTAACTACTTTTTTTTACTTTAATGAGCAATGTAGCAATTAACTAATATGAGAAATGTAAAAATTAACTACTTTAATGAGCAATGTAGCAATTAACTAATATTAATATGAGAAATGTAACAATTAAGTAGTTTAACTAATATTAATATGACAAATGAAACAATTAACTTTAACTACTTTAACTAATATTAATATGACAAATAAAACAATTAACTACTTTAACTAATATTAATATGACAAATGAAACAATTAACTAGTTTAACTAATATTAATATGACAAATGAAACAATTAAGTAATTTAATAGATAAATGAGAAGTCTAACAATTAACTACTTTTATAAAATGTATGAATGTGTATAAGTCTATATCAATGAGTATAAGTATATATAGTATGTGTATATATATATATATATATATATATATATATATATATATATATATATATATATATATATATATATATAATGTGTAAATATATTATAAGTAATATATAATATATTGTATAACTATATATAGTATATATAATATAATGTGTAAAGAATTATAATATGAATGTGTATAAGTATATATTTATAAGTAGATAATTAATATATAAGTAGATATAATAATTATATAAATTATATATATATGTAGAAAGAATTTGGAGAAGATGAAGAATGAAGATGATTGAATATGAGAGATTGAGAGTAGAGAATTTAGAGAGTAGGAAGAGTTGTAGAAGAAGAGGTGTAAAAAATGTATAGAAAATAGGAGTATAAATATGTTTTTTTTGTATACCCCACCCCCACCCCCACCCCCCCTAACCCCCCAGACCCCCCCTCCTATGCTCCCAATGGCTATAGAGCCGTTTGGGAGCTCTCCCAACGGCTATGGAGCCTTCTAGTATTTTAAAAAAATAAAAAATAAAATCTGACCGTTGTGGCCCGGTTCACTGAAATGTAGGCCCGGGACCGAACCGCTTGAAGGCCGGGCCGGGTGGCCCGAACCGGGCACCAACCGGTTCACCGGGTCGGTCCGGGCCCGTACAGGCGCACAGCAGCGGGTCGGTCCGGTTCCGGGCCGGTTGGCCCGGCCCGAGTCCATCCCTACCTAACCGTCTACCAAGCTGGCCGCCAGGCTAGGGATGGACTCAGGTCCGGGCCGGGTCCGGGTCGAGCCTAGGCCCGGGCGAGCCGGCGGTTCAGAATTGGTGGACCCGGGACCGGCCCGAGTAACCACCGGGTCCGATCCGGGTCCGGGACGGGCCAGGCCCATTATCAATTTTTATTTTTCCTTTTCCTAATTAACCCCCCTCCCACCCCCAACCCCCCAAACCACCCCAAATGGCCCAAAATACCCAACCCAACCCAAAAATTTTAAAAAAAAATTGGAAAAAAAAAAGTTTTGGCCCGAACCGGGTCCGGGCCTTGTTTTGGGTGACCCGAGCCCGGACCGGAAAACCCACGGACCGGGCCTACCCGGACCGATCACTGACCGGACCACCGAGTCGAGCCAGGCCAGAACAGTGCCGATCTCGGGCCAGTTCCGGATCAGGCCACCTGGCCCGAGTCCATCCCTACGCCGGGCTGGTTAACCCGGCTCAAGTCCATCCTTAGACTTAGGCTTGGACTCGGGCCGGTTCGGACCCAAGCCAGGCGTCCGAGTTATTATAGGTGGGTCTGGGATCGGCCTGGGTAGCCACCGAGTCCGGCCCGGGGCCAAGCATCTTTTTAGTTTTTTTTTCTTTTTTCTAATTAACCCCCCTCCCACTCCCAACCCCCAAACTACCCCAAATGACCCAAAATACCCAGCCCAACCCGAAAAGTTAAAAAAATTAAAAATAACAATTAAAAAGCCCGGAAACGGGCCCGAATCAGCCAGGCCGGTTCGGATTTTGAGTGACCTGAGCCCGCACCGGGAACCTCACGGGCCGGGCCTACCTGGACGAGTCACTAGCCAGTAGGCTTGGACTCAGGTCGGGAAGCCCGGCCCGTGGAACGGCCCGGCCCGCTACTGTGCGGGACCGGGACAGGCCTGGTTCTCGGGTCCGGGTCGGGCCTAGGCCCGGGGATAGGGTGGGTCCGGGCTCGGGTCTCAATTTTGGTGAACCAGCCCGGCCGGGTCAGGCCCGGGCCAAATTGAATTTTTTTTATTTTTTTTCATTTTGGGGTTCCACCTAGGTTGGGCTTGATGGGTAGGATGGGTTTGGGGGGTTTGGGAGGGTGGGGGGTCAGGGGGTGGGTTAGGAAAGCAAAAACAAAATCCAAACCGGAGGCCCGGCCCAGCCCAGCCCGAACCTGGATCGGACCCGGTGGCTACCCGGGCCAGTCCCGAGTCCACCATTCTTGAACCGCCAGCCCGTCCGGGCCTAGGCCCAACCCGGACCTGGCCCGGACCCGAGTCCACCCCTACTAGCCAGGCCACCAGGCCGGACCGGTTCAGCAGAGTACCAGTCCCAGGCCGATTCCAAATCGGGCCACCCAGCCCAAGTCCAACACTATCCTTAGTTATGATGGAAAGAGAGATATGGTGACAGGTAGGAATAGTACTACGTACGTAGCATGGAGTAGGAAAACTAACATTACAAAAATTCATCAGTATTCGATAGGAATATTATACTTCCTCCGTCCCATTTTGGAGTATATAAATAAGACAAAACAAAACACAATATCCAAAATCATTTTAGGAAAATGGTTGGGGGCAGATAACATCCGAACTGCGGTAATAAAACAGAAAAGAAAAACCAAGCACACAAGCTCCATGGTTCTAGACTCATTTAAGATATGATCATTCCTCATCTTCTTCGTCTCCATCACCACCAGCAGCCTTCTTCGCAGCTGCCTTCTGGTTCTTTCTCTTCACTCTTCCTGGACGACCACCACCGAAGGGACTGGACAGTGAGAAATCAATGTGTTTCTGTGAGTCCACCCTGACCATAAAGGATGGAACATTGACCACCTGCCTTCCAACTCTGAAATGAAAAACTAATATCAAACGACACATACAAGAGAAGTAACAAATGAAAGAATGTGGTGACCGATACAACTCTCTGTGCCCTTCAGTTTGAAACACAAAGCATGCCAATCAATGAAAGTGTAATAAACTATTGAGTTCAAAAGTTTGGAGATCACTAACAAATGAAATAATGTCACTGGTGTGAATCACTCTGCCCTTGATTTTGACCCACAAAACATGCCAATCAATGAAAATGTAATAATCCACAAATGCACGAAAATAGAAAAACCTAGACAACCTTAATGCAATCCATTGAGTAGGAAAAGCGACTGCATAAAAGACTAAAAGTTACTTTAACAGAAAAAATATATGAAAGGCATTGTATCCCTTTAATGCATCAGTTTTAATCATTTGGTAACTCAAGCGAAATTGAGACCAGCAACACTACGAACACAAAAAGATAAGAAATTAAGAAAGGAACAAATAAACTGATTATGGTATATTGAACAATATAAATTGCTTTATAGATATTAAATTTTACCGGATGTGCTTCTGCCTAATGAGAACTCTAGCATGATGGATGGACTTGGCCATGCCAGCCTTGAAGACCAAAGTCTGTAGACGGCGCTCTAGGAAATTCTCAACAGTGAGGGCAAGCACATAATCAAGCTTGTTTTGGCTCTCATCCAGCAACCCATACTGATTCATCCTCTTCAAAAGTGCATCGCCCTGAAAAATACGCTTTGGATCCTTTTCATCAAGGGTTAGAAGCTTTCGTGCATTATTCCTGATACGACTCAAAGCATACTGCACTCTCCACAGCTCCCGCTTGCACCTGAGACCATACTCACCCACAAGCTTCAATTCAGAATCCAAACGCTCCTTCTCATATGGGCGACGTGGCTTTTTGAATGTCTTTCCATCTACATTTGATAACATAAGCACATATCACACGAGTTTAATAGATAACAGAGACGTATAGTTAGCTAGTTGGAACCAAGAAACTTCTTGGGAATAATTTTATACAGAAAAATATGGGAGATATTTGGTAAAACAGAAACGAAATTGCAATTAAAACATCCATCCGAACTAAGCAAGTTAGATTCAGTACCAGCTCTGACTCATGTGCTATATCTACTTCCAAGCATATGTTAAAGACCAAGTAAAAAGATAATCATGATTAGTTTTGCTTACAACTTTCTGACCTAAACTCAAACACAAGAAAATCACTTTGATTTTCCCAAATCCAACCATTGACATTTGACATTAGCACAAGGATCACCAATTACAAACGCCTTTATGAAAAATACATAAGACGCATAAAAGAGTCTTCGGCAGGCAACATTTTACAGTACAAACAAAATATTAAATGTAATTTCTAGAGAAATTAATTATTTACCAGAAAGATGCACAAAATGGGCAGTCTGCTTATGTTTGTGCACAACTTTGAAGAAAAATTAGAGGCTAGAGGTTATGATGATTATAGATGCAGCGTACAACATATCATTGCCCAGATATCCCAAAAACAAAACTAGGCAGACATAGAGGGAGTGAAGCTACCACGATATTGCCACAGATCATGTTTTTACCCTAGATTAAGCTACAATCTCAGACAATTACAAGATTTAAGCTCTCACCGCAACTATACATTTACCCCACACTTGAATGCAACAATAGTTAACACATAAAGATTACGATGAGAGTAGACATGAATTATAGAAGGCTTACAGTTCCGGTAGTAGGAGACGTGCACCATCTTAGACCACGGGAGGCGAGGTCCTCAATCCTGCGATGGGTGTATAAAGATTCTGCAGCCGATGCTAGGGTTCGAAGGGTGAACACTATTCATACACATGTAAAAATATACTCTCAGTGTGCGGAGTACTGTAATTTTTAGGGCAAAATAATGATGGACTTTGAACGTTGGGTAGAGCTTCAGAATAGGCCCATATTAAAATAATAAATAAAATTACATTCTAACTCGGGCCAAGCCTACCACATGGGCTTTCCTCTCTGATTCAGCCCACAACCATTTTAATGCTTACAAACATGTTCAAAATATAGCGGGAATGTATGGCCCGGTCATCAAGCATCTGATTTAATGTTTGTAACTTTGTACTACATAATCTTTAGTAAAGATTTGGGTACAATGGACCATTGAGTAAAAAACTATTTGCTTTGAAAGACAATTCCTTCTGCCCCTATAAATACCCTCCATAAGGGTTGCAAACCACACCATCAGAAAGCATTTCAACAGCAAAAATAGGCACCGGAAGTGGGAGTTTTATGGGTCAGACATATTACCTTATTCAAAGAAGATGTACACTGTTTGCTATAAACCCTTTTTGAAAATTATTCAAATCGTATTCATGTATTTTTAGCAGTATTCATCTAAGGTGAACCATAGCCAAAAATGTCAAAAATAGGGTGTTCATTATACATGGAATAACTTGCAACCAACATATTGGTAAGACTCAATCTATATAATTAGTTCTTAACATTTCTATACTTTTATTTGATGCACAGATTTTATTGGCAGGATTGTGGGAATGCATGTTTCTCAAACACATATAATCAATGGTAACAACAAAAGGTAAATCTCACATGTAAAACTCAGACTGTTTTAGTAATTAGTTTTATATACCTTTGGTTTCTAACTAATATATTTTGAGTGTAACAGATCAACAACCATAGTGGAAGGTCGAGACACTAAAAGTGAACAAATCAGGCAAGATAAGGCAAGTTTTGAAAAAAAGGTTTATGTCCAGTCAACCCCTTTCCCTCATCCTATTGAACAATCAACAGTTTACTTTAGAAACAGCTTGCCGTTAAAGATCACGAATATAAATGCAAAAAGCAAGAGTTAAAAAACAGGGGATGAAGATCTAGTCATACCTGAGAATTTGGCTATGAAATAATAAAACCTACATTTAATCCTAATCTTAACTATTTAATAATTACATTTAATTTACGAACAATACATATTTCGGCACCTTATTCAGGTCCAAATCCTACGAATTTACATTTTATAAAGCATACTATTATAACTAAAAATATAATATTGTTGGCTTAGATCTGCAATATATTACTTTTGTCCCACTCAACTTTGCCAAGTTGTTGTTACGTGGGATATTAGAATAGTAACATTTGTGTGGTTGAGATTTGTGCAGAGGAGAGAGAAATGAACAGAACCACAAAAACATTGCTTTAAAAGAAAAGTGGCAAAATTTTTTGGGACAAACAAAAAAGGAAAGTTGCATATGACAGCAGGATGGAGGGAGTAAAAGATAATACCATGTTAAAATGTATCTCACTACATAGCAGACACATAATACATGTTAAAATGTATAACAGAAAGCAAGAATTGTCTGGGCCTAAAATGATCCCTGTTTAAAAATAGATTTATCTTTAGTTAACATTTACATTGCTTAGTACAATAAAAGGAAGATTTAGTTCAAACTTTGAATAGTCAGCAATTTATTTTAAAAACAGCATGCCTTTGATGGTATTTAGAAGCAAAAGGTTAGCCTTAAAAGATTAGGGGATGAAGATCACACCTGAGAATTTGACAGCACAATAAAACCTTGTGATCCCTAATCATAATAATAAATCATTTTAGATTTGTTTATTAAAATAAATGATTAGTAGTTCATAGAATTTGGTTGTCCTGAGGTAAGGCCAAGAATAACCAGCAAGCAGATGAGTTTTAGTAGTTCAGTATATTGTAAACAACAGCATACCCACAGGTTTTAAAAGTACAAGGTTTCACACATTTTCTTGAAGAAAAAAAACTTAGTGTTATGCTTTATGTAGTTGAGGCAGTTCAATTTACAAGCTATTGCTCTAATCTAGAAAGTTAAATGTCATTTTCAACTTATATTATTTCAAGTAAAAACTTTTGTTATAGAAACTTTTGGATGTCAAACTTTTGGAATTTTAAATGTCAATTGGTCATTTAAATGTCAATTTACAAACTTTTGGACAGTTCAATTTACTGCTTTTTTGCTTAAATAAACTGTTATAGCGACCTTTTAAAAATATATGTTTACTAACAAAAACTATGAATGAAGTTTTAAATTAATCCGTGTGAAATATGTGTAATAGTTATATATTTCACGTTTCACAGACCAATTTAACCAATTAAAAAAATCTGCATAGATGCATCCAAAACACAATCTCACATTTTACCTAGGATTTAAACAAAGACATTCTATATCACAAAATCGATAGCGGCTAGGTTAAATCCAGAATTTCACAAATGTTAGCATTTAAAAACACAAATTGGTCAAATCATATGCAACTATACATGTAAGAAATCACAATAACGAGTGTATGCATGGACAAACTGATAAAGAAATTCAATTACCTAACCTTTCAAGATAACCACAATAAGACAAGAAAGATGCAGGGATAAATCAAAATCACAAAACGACGGTATGTGTGGTTTGAGATTCTTCGGTTTTACCTCAGCCGGAAAAATAGAACATATGTCGATATCACACAAATGGACGATGGTCAGCGGAAGAACAAAGGTTTAATCACAGGATGGTCTGAGTGATGCTCGATGTTGAATGAAGCGGCAGAAGGGGGAGTGAGTTCAAATAGAGCGTATTAGGTTTAAGTTGCTGGGCTGGGTAGATTTAAGATACAGTATTGGGCTGGGGTGATTTAAAATTTATTAAAACATTGGTATTTTAATTTCAGATCTGATTTGGACTTTATGAAATAATTGCAAAATTGGAATATATACATTATTTATGTACTTTATTTTGACTACATCTTATTTATTAATGTATGTGAAATATTTTTTTTGAAAAATATTGTTAAATTCGTCTCATTACTAAGTTTTATAATCTGATTTTTATTTTAATTTAACTAATACAGAATTAAATATAATGACGGTCAAAGTTGTGCATTGGCAGACGTGAAATGTTGATTGTTGCAACTAAAAAGAGACGGAGTAAGTATATTTAATTAGGATTATAATTATATTGTTCGATTATAATTTTTTATTATTATGATTATTATTATTGTTATATTTCTATGATTGTTATTATATTTTTAGGTTTTTTTATTTCTACTGAAATTTGCTGATCTGAACTGACTTGGAGTAGTAAATGTAGTCTCTGTGTATTCTACAACTATTGAAGTCTGGTATGAACTTACTACCTATCTCTGAGTTTTCACTGTCCGATCTTTACTTATAATTTATTATGCATGTTACATCTATGACAATTTGCATTCATTTCACACGACCAAGTAATACTTATAAAAAATATCATATCGCTATTACATTTTAATATCGCGCGCATCGCGCGGGTGCTAATCTAGTTCATTCAAAGCAATGAACCCATTTCAAAGACTTTGTTTCGTCATTTTCAGAAAACCTCTGCTAAAACCGGCTGCCTCTACTCGTGCGGATCTCCGTCGTCTCTCCTGAAAAACTGGTGACGACGAGTGGAAACGTCGCGTGGGAAACCGCATGGCTACCGAAGGATCTATCGGGGAAGAACCGAGCTCCTTGGCAGACTGACGTTAACTTCTCGCGTCTGGATGACACCCCGAACTCTTCTCATACTCCTCTTCCATCGAAAGTTAACGACGAGATCAGGGCATTCGTGGAGGAGATGAACGAAAATTGGGATCAGAGAAAGGGGAAAAGTCCGAAAAAGGCTCAGACTCTGATGATATTGCCAAGAAAAATGAAAATGAGAGGTCCATTTATAGTTTAGAGACTATGAGGGAGGATTATAGGGTTAAGAAAGAGAGAATATATGCGGGATTGTGGGTGAAGGAAATTAAGAAGATGGAGGAAGCCAAGCTTGGAGTTGGCGGCAATGCTGATGATATCGAAAAGTTGCTGGATAGCGCCTCCGAGTACGTATATCAATTCTTTTTGCAATGTTGATTTCTTCTGCACTTCTTCTGCGGATTGGAATGTGAAATTGGTTGTTCAAACAAGTGCATGATTTTTTACTCTGCAAATAATGACTTGAAGAACAATTTACAAGTGACAGGTACTGATGTAAAAAACAAGCCGGATGGATGGGAAACAACATCAAGAGTGTAGATGGGAACAACTGCGAGATGTCACAAAGAGAAGATCTTTTTGCTTCAAGAGTTTGAGCGCCAAATTGCATTCAACAAGTTCCAGGTTTGTTGAGGCTTGCTTGTCGGATTTTTCTGATAGACATTTTTTAGATACAAAATGTTAGTCAACTTTATTTTATTTATTGTAACAGTACAGATATGGAGCTTTGTACAAACACACATATTCAGTAGAAGGAGACCAATAGATGGGTGGAAGTACATGATAGAGGAGGGAAAGGAAGTGTTACCAGGTTACGCACATTAGCTGATGCATCCACTCAGCCCTTTCATCAAGAGGGCACACCAACTCCACATCATGCTCAAAGAAGAACAAAGACAAGAGGCAACTAGCTCTTCTTCTGCCAGGACAGTCTCAGGTGGTGGGGTTGTCTCTAAAACATCACATTGTATCCAATCTAAACTTCATCCATCTGTGTGTAACATATTACATTTTACTACTTGTGATCATATATTTGTTTAATATTTTCTCTTTTTTGGTGGAGTAACCACTAAGAATTAACCAAAAGGGAAATGAGAAAAAAAAAACACCACTCCATGAATCTGTGTGTTATTTTAGCTAAATTGTGCAGTTAAATAATATGCACATGCATGTACTAAGAAAAATCCTAGGAACCCTCTTTTGTGTTGGCTTAATTCTCTAACTTAGGTTGCTCGAAGTTCTTGTAGCCAGCAGCATCTACGTTTCTGTCACATTAGGTGGCAATATCTTCAATTTTGTTACATACCTTAATTGGCTACAAGTTTTCATATCATTGCTAAGTTGATACTTTATGCATTTTGGTAAGGCTGCAATGTTGCGTACATTTGGCCCCCTTGCCCGCACCGTAGGTGGGAGCCTTTGTGACACTAGGGTAATTTTGTTGTTGTGGTAATTCATTCTTATGTTCATCATGCCAAACCTAAATGAACTGATAAGAATCAACAACGTGAAAATCAGTTCGCTTTTCGCCATCCTATCATTGTATTATTGTCTCAAATCGATTGGTTGGGTATGCTACGATGGTGGTGAAGGGGGGTGTTGATGATTGTCGAACACACCTCTACTGATTGGGTGATATTTTGGCTTAGTCTATAATGTTAGAGTCACTGTCATGATATTATAGTTGCTTTCATTGGGCCTAATGTCATGAAGCATTTAGGGCATTTATTCTTCCTACTGAGACTTTTCAAAGAATGTGATTGGTGAGATAAAATCGTAATATCATCATCTTAGAATCTTTTCCTAGTTGGTTGCGGTGATGATGGCGATGGTTGTTACTTGCTAGCAGCAATGGACTTAATTTGTGTGCAATCATGGGGAGGGACTAGAACCAGAAACAGGTGTAACTAGTCTGGTTTCGGTCGGGTTGATCCTGGGGGCACTTATAGTGCATTCAAACATGCATGTCCCGAACCATTGCGGTCCTATTTTCGAGAAATCGGGCCACATTCAGCTCGGTACTGCTCTGGAAAATCAGTTCCATCTCAAACGGAAACTAGCCATCTCAACCGCGTCAAGTGACTCAAGTCAAATAGGCCAGTCCACCTTAGTTGTAAACGATGGAAGTGAGCCTAGCTTCCCAACCAATTGCCAGGGTGGTGGATGGTAATGGTGTTGCATGAAAAATCTGCCAGTTTCCGATCTGGTCAAGTCCCAGAATCGGGGTTGGTTCGACCTTTAGTTGTGAACGATGGAAGTGAGTCAACTAATGATCCGGAGTGGTCGGATGGCAATGGTGTTTGCATGAAATGTACGGGCAATGGTTGTATTTAGTTGTTAGTGATGAATGTTGTGGCAAGTGGCAACTAGAGATGTGTTACATCGGAAAATAGTTTCCATCTGAAAATACGAAAATACTAGAGAAGAGCCTCATTTTCCAAACCGGGATACATCTTTTCTTTTTTAGTTATCAAAATGCCCTGAAAGTGGTAATTCTAATTGATATCAAGTAATACTGCTGCGGTGCTAGCCAATACCCATGTAAAAGATAGACACTATGATTTAGTACATTCCTGAGATAACTAGCAAAACAAGACAATCAATATTAAGGAAGCATCGCATTCTGAGATATGATTTAACGGCCGTAAGTGAAGTCATCTAAGTGAAGTCATCTTGTGCTTTAATTTGTATTCCCATGCTCTCTACGACTCTGTACCAATCGATCCGATGAAATTACAGTAACTTCACCAATCACCACTAACTATGGCTTGGATTCTTCTCATCAGTTTGAGAACATGTTGGCCCTGAGGAGAAATCAACAAAGAATTCCTCCATTGAAAAAAACACATGCAATAGTCAATACATCAATTAAACGATACTTGCAAGAAACATCATATATATGTCATATTTTTTCCATAATTACTAGTCATAAAAAGGTTACTTCAGCAAAATTGTGAAAATTACATTATTTTTTTTGGTATTTGTAATTAAAAAAAAGTCAAAACACTAAGCTTAACTATATGGTTAATGTTTTAAATTTGAGTCCAGACTTTCTACTGAAATGACTTCGAAAGCATTTTTAGGGTTCCTGGCCTTTGGCAATCTTGGAGTGCATGAAGACTGGGAAGTTCAATGCATATGGCATTTGTGTGCGAATTGGCTTTTATTTCTAAATATATTTTGGTATTTCCGGTCAAGAATAATTCAGTTAATGATGTTCTCCTATATTTAGTTTTAGCAAAGTGGTCATGTACAATTGTGGATAACGTGGCAAAAATAATGTACAAACATCAAACTCGGGTACATTGGTTATGCTATTAATTTAGGAGTGGGAACCCTTCTCGCCTGAGTCTTCTTGATCTGGAGAATCAAGCAGAATATCTGAATCAGAATGCAAAAAGGGTGATGACTGGTGGTGGTTCCCAAGACCTCCTATATCTGCTATCAGGGTAACAATTCTCACCCGCCACCGTAACAAAGAAGGTTAGGAAGTCCGAAAAATATAAAGCAAACACACACTTACATACACACGACAACAACAACAACAACAACAAAACAACGATAATCCTCTAGAGCATTTTTTACATTGATGAAAAGATAAACCAAAAATTAATTTAAATGCCTTAAACTTTTGTGAAGTATGAACTTATCACTCTATAAGACTATAACTTATATCATACCACCATGAATATAGTTTTTTCCTTACAAATATAAGTTTTATCTGTTAAATGCACAATCTAAATACTTTGAACATTTGAGAGAACACATAGCATCTTAAACTCAGACTTCGTAAGTACATCATTAGTGTTCATAGCTCTGAGATCACCCATAATATAAAGTTCATGCTATTTATTACAGACTTTGGGTTCTTTTAAGGAGTATTTATATTAACTTTTTCATAAATAAAAAATAGTGTAGTCTTGTTTCGGAAAAGAAAAAAAATCCAAATTTAACAAAACTGTCATGTAGACTTACCTTCTAAGTTGGGTAAATCTTTTGATAAGTCTGAAAGATTAAAACTCCAAGGATAGTGATCCAAGGACCGAAGGGTGTTATTCTTGTAACTTCCAGCACAATAATCTGAGGGGAGTTTCAACCCAGCTGTGG